GAGTGCGATGGCCTGGGCCTGACCTCTCGTGCCCTTCCCGGCAGCACTGGTGCTGAGAGCGCGGGGGCCTGACCGAGCACCTTGTGGACGCTGCGAACAGATGAACCCTCCTGGGCGAGATGCGGGCGGTGATCATCCTCGCCCTGGAACCTCTGAAGAGCGATCCCACGGACAGAGATGGCAGAAAGGGATGGGGCGAAAGGATGATGGGAATTCCATTCCTTCGGAGAACACAGGGGATCAGTGTCCGAGCCCTGACCACTGACCACACAGGAGCAGCCACAGGACAGAGCGAGCTAGACAGTGCAGTGGGCGGCGACGGAGCTGGCCACGCTGGCGTCCCAGGTTCCTTGCTATCCACAGCCCATCTGCACTCTGACCCCCACACGCTGCCCATTTTATCCCCAAACCTGCCATGAAACGTTTTTAAACTCGCTTAAGGTTTTAGAAGTTACTTCAAATCACACACTTGCTTAAAACCGTCAGGAGTCACGGCGATGGTTATCTTTCAAGAGTGACGACAACTGTAAGGGGTGCAGGTTCGGGGGCTTCTTGGGTGCTGGTCCTGTCGGTGTCTCGATTTGGGCGCAGGTAACATGGGTGTGTCCACTGGGTGAGCATCTACAATATGTGTCTATTATATACCAAGAAGGAGTTAAAAGACATATGTCCTCCTGATTTTGAGGGGAAGATTGCCAGATCTACTAAGAAAATGCACACAGGCTCCAATTTCTAAAGGGCTGGTGTCCCCAGAGCCCAGGTGTGCACCGCAGGGCTAGGCAGGCGGGGCTGGAGTCCTGGGTGCCACTGACAAGCGTCACCCGGAGGATCAGGAATTTACTGCCATGGCAACGGACGCCTGGATCCAAGCGATGGCCCGGTGTCTCCAGAAGGAATTTGGGCGCATTCCAAGGCGATGGCCCTTGGTCACGCCAGCTCCTCAGACGGAGCCTGAGGGCCGATAACCTTGTGCCGCCTCCACTTCAGCACAGGTTCAGGTTTCCTGACCTGCCTGGCATTTGGGGGTAACTGGGGTCACCCAGGCCTGCAGGCCCGTGTGGAGGCTGGGGCTCTCCTCTGCCCACCGCGCCTTCCCCTCCCTGCACAGGTAAGATTCCAGGAAGCCCCCTGCACGCTAGCCTCTGCCTCAGAGGCCGCTTCCAGGAGACCCAGCCTGTGACAGGCGGCTGATTAGTGTCCTTTCTCCTTAGAAAGGAGGAGAGGCCCCGTGCAAGGAAGACGAACGTGCGGAGGAAAAGGTGGGAAAGATTACACAAAAGCACTCCGTCCTCCTCCCTTCCTCTGCACTATAAACAGTGGTGCTTAAGCAGAAGCCACATGGCACCGGCGGCTTCCCCCAAGAGCGAGGCCGGGAAGGCGGGAACCCGAGGACGTTCTCCTTGCAGCATCTAGTCTGTCCTGAACTCTTTCCTCGTGGACAGAAGGACACAGAGACCACAAAGGACTCCCGGAGAAGGACGAGGGGGGAGAAACGCCCCCGTAGGACCAGGTTGTCATGAATCCACAAGGACGGCCACAGAAAGTGCCAGAAGAGTCCGCGGTGACCACTGATCAATAACTGGAAACCGAGGTGTCCTCAGACTCAGTGTCCTCAAAGGTGGGGATTCCCGAGTTCATGCACAATGTCAAGTACTCCCAGGACACCTGTGTCTGCCCCAGGGAGGACCTCCGTAACCCCCTCTCCCCCACCCCATACACACACACACACTTTGTTCTGCTTCTGGCTAGAACAACGACATCGACTGATCACGACGATGCCTTACCCTGACTCTCTGGCAAGAGCCGTGCCCCCACACACACACACACATACACTTTGCTCTGCTTCTGGCTAGAACAACGACATCGACCGATCGCGACAGTGCCTTACCCTGACTCTCTGGCAAGAGCCGTGTCTGCAGATATTCTTCTATGTGAAGTACAAGCTCATCATTATCTAACAACTGCAGTGTGCGGGGCAGACCAAGTCTTTCCAATGACACCAGATCTGGGGAAGGGAAGGCGAGCCCCTCGACTGGCCCAGCCTCCTTGTCCCACAGGTGGGGGAGGCCTGGAGGAGAGCAGGGTTCGCTCAAGGCCCCAAGGTGGGGCTGGGCCCAGAGCCGACTGCCGGATGCTCAGAGGACAGACGGCCTATGCCACCCGGCCAGTCACACAGAGCGATGGAAGCTGCCACCAGGCATGGGCAGGCCCTCTCCTCCATGCTGGGCAGTGGGGTTCCCGGCACAGGCTCCACAGAGAGCCACCAGGCAGCAGCTGAAGGGCACACAGCCCCCAGCCCCACAACCCCACCTCCGGGAGTTTATCCCACAGCTCCGCATGCACCTCACAGACGGCCCCTTTAAAGGCCCGCCAGGGGGGGCTGCTTACGTGACCCGGGGCACATGCCCATGGCGGTGACTGAGCCAACTCCACACATGCCAATACGGGGCAACTGCCAACACACGGCTCAGGGGCAAAGGCAAAAAGCAGGTGACAGCATGCCGCCACCGTCACGGGCCGAGATACGTATTTTCATTATACCCAGCCAGAAACAGGGGAGGAAAGAAGATTAATAATTCACCGTATGTATCTTTACGTCTTTGGAACTTTCTACATGCGAATAATGCAGTCAAGAAAGCAAACGATTCCCTTCACATGAAATATCCAGAACAGGTAAATCTAGGCAGAGAGCAGCGTGGCGGCTCCGGGGGCTAGGAGAGAGAGGCGGAGGGGCAGCAACAGCTCTACGGGGGCCGGGCTTCCTTTGGGGGGTGATGAAATGCTTGGGAACTGGGGAGAGGTGGCGCTTGCACAACATGATGAACGTACTAAATGCCACCGACGTGTTCACTTTAAAATGATTTTGCTACGTAATGTTCGCCCCAATTTTGAAAAAGCCATAAAAATGAATGAATGAATGGGGTTTTCACAGGTGACCTTGGGGGAGCAGCTTGGCAATGCTGTGAGAGGCATGGCGCTGGCAGCTGAGCGGGGGGCTCCCATCCCACCACGCCCGGCACCACCCAGGAGACCTCGGGGACATAACGGAGCCTCGCTGAGCTTCGGTCTCCTCCTCAGTGCAGTGGACGTAACCACAGAGCCTGCGTCCAAGGGTTGCTGTGACGAGTAAACTAAAGAGTCCACGCCAAGTGTCTAGCCCAGCGCCTGGCCCCGCCCAGGCCCCAGGGCCTCTGCTCCTGCTGTCTGCCCCACTGAGCACGCCCTCTCCCTGGGCAGACGCTGGTCCACTCCCTCGCCTCCTTCACGTCTCTGCTCAAATGCCTCCATCTGGATGGGACCTTCTCTGACCACCTGATTTAAAACTGGAACCCTCCCTGCTCTGCAGCTCCTCTATCCCCTCCTCCCCTTAAACTGGCTTCTTTATTTTGTTTACGTCCTGTCTCCTCTACTGCACTGTCCTCTCGGGGAGGCAGTTTCTGTCTGTCCCCTTCTCTCTGTGCCCCAGGGGAGACGCTCAGTAGGTACGTGTGGAATGAACGAATGGTGTTCACTAATATGTCCGCTCTGATCCCGAGGGTAATCCTGCCTCCCCGAAAAAAGAAAACTGTTGTCTTGTTGTTTAAGCAGCTTGAAACAAAAGAATCAAACAAAAGCCTAAATTTAAAAACCCACAGTATTTCCAGCTCAGCCCTAGTCCCCAAAGGGAGCCATCTGCGGAGAAGAGAGTTCTCAGCGAAATGACGCTTACGTGCTCGAAAACATCAACCACCAAAAGTCACCCAGTGCAGGGTGACGTGGCCACCGCGAGGCTCTCAGGAGCAAGAACACAGTGCCAGCCCGGCCGGCGTGGCTCAGTGGTTGAGCGTTGACCTATGAACCAGGAGGTCACGGTTCGATTCCCGGTCAGGGCACATGCCCAGGTGGGCTTGATCTCCAGTGTGGGGCGTGCAGGAGGCAGCTAATCAATTATTCTCTCTCATCATTGATGTTTCTATCTCTCTCTCCCTCTCCCTCCCTCTCTGAAATCAATAAAAATATATTTAAAAAAAAAAAAAAAGAACATAGTGTTACCACGGGAGCCTGGGACCCGATGCCCACCTCAGGACAGAATCGTCCATTCACAGAGAACAGGGAGGTTGGGAG